ATTCGATCGATATTAACGAAGATATGAAAACGACAACTGACTCTTGAACTGCGCATTGTATGCGAAATGACAGCCAGATACCATTCTCTACACGTAGCCGTTTGAATCGCTAAGGCCTTTCTGGCTTTACACAAAAATTCTCTTCTACGTTAATCTATACCACGATCTCTACGTAATGCCGTTTTTCCCGCTTAAATCGGACCACGTGATATACGCTAAGGCCCTTCTGGCTTTACACATGAGTTTTCTGTTCAACGTTCATCATTCTTTACGTAATGCCGTTTTTCCCGTTTGAATCGGACCAATAGCAGTGAAGATACGTGCTAAGGCCCTTGTGGCTTTGCACAAGATTTTTCTATTCGACGTTAATCTATACTACGATCTCTACGTAATGCCGTTTTTCCCGTTTGAATTGGACCAATAGCAGTGAAGATACGTGCTAAGGCCCTTTTGACATTGCACAAGATTTTTTTCTTCTACGTTAATCGTTCTCTTCATAATGCCATTTTTCTCGTTTAAATCGGACCAATAGCAGTGAAGATACACGCTAAGGCCCTTGTGGCTTTTCGTTCTGCGCATGATTTTTCTATTCGACGTTAATCTGTACCAAGATCTCTACGTAATACCGTTTTTCCCGTTTGAATCGGACCAATAGTAGCAAAGATAGTCGCTAAGGTCCTTTTGTCCTGTCACTACGCATGATTTTTTCTATTCAACGTTAATCAATACTGAGTTATCCTTATAATGCCGTTTTTTTCGTTTAAATCGAACCAACGATAGCTGAGATATACGCTAAGGTCCTTTTGTCCTGCCACTGCGCATGATTTTTCTCCTGTATGTTAATCTATATCCCTCTCTCTCTACATAACCCCCTTTTCCCCATTTAAATCGGACCAATAGCAGTGAAGATACACGCTAAGGTCCTTTTGTCCTGCCACTGCGCATGATTTTTTCTTTTCAACTTTAATCTATATCACGCTTTCTACATAACCCCCTTTTTCCCATTTAAATCGGACCAACGATAGCTGAGATATACGCTAAGGTCCTTTTGTCCTGTCATTGCGCATGATTTTTCTCTTGTATGTCACGGCGGAAATCCTCATCGGGGCAATTGACGGATCGACAGTTAAAAGTGGGGTTATGTTCATCGGCGCGACTCCGCGTGGCGGGCCCCGGGGCCACGGGCAGCTGTCTAACGACCGTTTTTGGCAAAATGGTGCGGTTTGGTTAGATGTCTTTTCGCAAAATGATGAAAATGGCCTCGTTTACGTGAACGCTATATCTCGTAGGTTATTTGTCTTTTCGCAAAATGATGAAAATGGCCTCGTTTACGTGAACGCCATATCTCGTAGGTTACCTCTCACTCTTACACGTTGAATTCCCTATGTGAGCCAGAATGAACTTAGTCTATCTACTACTATTTTTAACTATTTTTGGGTGCACTTTTGTATATAGGTAAGTACGGTTTAATCGACCTATTTTTGACCCAAGAATACGTGGTATAATTTATGACCAATCTATTTGAAACAACCTGTATAATAAACATAAGAACTATATATTTTATTAATTATTCAGTACATTGTATCACCGAATTTAAAAATCTTTCACAAAATTAGAAATGCAGTTTAACGGCTTTGAGCGTTAAATTATAGCTTTTTGTGGTGGAAAATTTACAAAAATTTAATCATTAGCTCTAACTCCTTCATAGTTATAAATCTGTTTCACTCTCGCTAACAGAAGTTTAGTAAAAATAGAATGTTAAATGCATTCATAGTCGCAAGCGGCAATATTTTTTTATTATTATCTGCAAAAAATCACACGGAATAGTATATTACATTACGAGTGTGGAAAGTGACATTTTTCACACGAGTGGGAAATATTGTTGCACGAGGCACAAGCTGAGTGTGAAAAATCACTTTTCACACAAGTGATGTACAATATTTTTCCTGCGACCACAAAATAATGTCATCAAAAAATGTAAAACCAGGTTATCATTACTATAATAACTAAAATGTATTTAAAAAAAGAATCAACAATAATTGTGTTTATTCAATTTTCATATTTTCTAAACAAAAAAAAATAAAAAAAATAAAAAAAAAAACAAAAAAAATTCTGGCCGCGCTAGGATTTAAACGCGGTCGCTCGCCAGGTCTCAAATGGCAAAGTTGATAAGTTCGCCGTTATAACCAACTAAGCTAATAGCCCTTACGTTATTTGAATGATCTAATCAATTATGTATTTAACCAGAATAAAGACAAAACATAATATATTAGTTATTTTAAAATTATTTTAATAATAATTGTTAAAGATAAATATCTAGGATCTAATTTACAACAATTTCAATAATTTAACAATCATATCGATTTTAGTATTAATATGAACATTACATAGATCAAAACAGAAATTATTTGTTTGAAATTTTGTAACAGCTACTGCGGAAAATAGCATATCCGTACACGGGTGGAAAGTAAATTCTTATTCATACGCGTGTGATATAGGGCACTTTCCATAGGTCTATATAGTGTGATATGTGTCACTTTCCTAAGTGGTCGTAGGAAAACATCATTTGATCTCTCTCACGACGATTAAGAAGAAATCAAAGTCGCAGAGAACATAATTCTTTAATATACGTTTTTTTATTAATACATTTTACACATGTATATGTTTGGCAAAGTTATACATTTTTATTCTTTCTCTTTCTCTACGTAAAATTGTTACTATTTTTATTCTTTTTTCCCCTTCTATTTTCGCCTTCTATTTTCTTTCTTCTCCTCCTAATACAGTACATGTTTCTATCTTTAGTAATAAGCAGGTAGGGTTTGATTTAACCTAGAACTTCGAGTTTAATGTATTCTCCAGTTTTCTCCGTACTCAGGTACTATCTCTGAATAGTCCACTACTGTTGGTTATTTTTACTAAGTTTTCTCTCAAGTGTTCCTATAGCGACCTTTTCACTTCCAGACTGGAAAGAGTGTGTCGCCGCCAAGTTAAACTTCCAATTTGAAGAAAACGTGGTTGAAGTTTCTTTCTCTTTCATACAGAGTTTAAACCTGGTGGAATCATTGTGTAATTTCAACACCAGAAAGTGGTGGATATCTGCTGCCTTGTGAACTGTAGTACCTAAGCAGCATTGCGAGGATTTATATCATTTGCATGAGCTTATTGATTCTGTGTCTTCTTATCTGTTACCAGTGAGTTTGGTATTGAGTGGTTATTTACCTGTTCACTGAGTGCCTAAAGACGGTATTCCACTAAACGTACAGTTAAGTTTATGTTTTGTTTGTATTTTCTGGAACTTACAAAACAAAAGCAAAACTGGAACAAACCCAAAACTCTTGTTTTCATCCAGCGGACTACATTTTATTCCAGTTTTGTTTTTGTTTTGGTTCTTTTCGACTGTTTATCGCAAGGAAGTCAGAACATATTTTTTCAATATTTTATTTATATTTATATACCTATTTATTTTTTAACATAGGTCCAATTTGAAAATATATATAAAAATAGTTTAAAAAATGTGTGACATTATAAAAACTTAAAAAGTACAATATTTGGACTTAACCTAGTGTGGCGCTGACATACAGATATATACTCTACTAATGAACATACTTATTTAAGTTTATGTAGCATTTAAAAATAAATTACTTATTAGTAAGTACTTATTTTTACAAAATACGTTACCTATAGATTACCAATTTGGTACAAAATTTAAACTACACAACACGACCGTTTCTAGTAAACAGGCTCTAATTTCAAAACACGTCATAACCTTTTGAAGTTACCGCTTCTGAGCAAGACTCGAGAAGCAAAACTCTAACTGTCCCAAAACACGCCAGTCTTCAAAAAGTTTGCGAAAAGTTGCAGTTTTGTTTTTTCTACACAAGTTTGTGTTTTGTTCTTGTTTTTTATCCGTTTAGTGGAAAACCGCCATAACAGAGAATTTGTTTATCCTAATTGTATATTCCAAATACAGCTTCGGATCCTGTGATTGGTAGTTTGATACCTATTTGGCAAGTTTATTAGCCTTTTTATTTTCCTGGATATCTTTATGTCTTACTCTTCTCTAGTTTTATTTTGTTGACGAAAAATAATGGTCACTACAGGATCCCTTTCTAATTATGTGGCGAGAAAAAAATATATACAAAATAATATAAAAAAAGTTGTTTCAGGAAAGGAATACACAAGTGTTCAACATTCAACCCATTATTTAAAAAAATAAACTGATAATATTTAAAAAGTAAAAATCTAACATAATTTAAATAAAATAAAAGTTCTGAAAAAGGTTCATATCGGTAGCCAAAAGCTAAATATACTAAATATACAAGCTGTTTTATTTGTTTATCACTAAACCAAAGAAAAATACCAGAAATATTTATGGTTGGGTTCTACTAGCAGTACTGTCAAACAGTTACAAAGCCTACACAGGTCATGAGGCAAATACCAAAACAAAAATGTATCGTTATTCTTCTCACAGATTCTGAACACGTTCTCTTCCACTGATCCAAGTTTCTTAATATTTTCTAAGAGTCGGGCTGATTAGATTCCCATTAATATGTATCTTGTTCTTACTCAAGCAGAAACAAGCATTTGACTTTTTCTAGTTATAGTTACCCAGAAGAGTGATAAACTAATATTTTTAATAAATGGATACTGCTAATTCCCCTGAAGAACCTATTTTGGAAACTGCAATCTTTTCGCCTAGCTTATTTAGTATCTGCCTGCAATTTCAGATAATTTTGGAGCTAAATATGTTTAAGCTCAAAGCTTTAATGCTAACCTCATCGAATATCCTTAGATTTTAAACTACATTTATGTACCTGGTTCTGAACCAATACACTTTTATTTTAATAAAACCATCTAATTTTTAACCGTAGATGCAATTCAGAATGGGCTCTATTTATTCCTGTAGTTCTGTGTTCAAAGATGGAGTAATGGATAAGAAGGAAGAGGGTTTGCGCATATCTTTATAGAAACAATACATGTGACATTAATAGATCACTAACTTGTTAAACATTTTATTTGCCGCCTCCGTCAGACGATCGGTATATTGCTGTTCAAGCTCGCGCAGTTGCGTAAAACAATTTTGGGATTCTTCGATTAAATTGCCAATCATTTCTGTTAAATTTCTCTCGAAATTCTGATTGACTTCGTCCATTTGTTCGAAGAGTACCAGCTCCAATTTCATCAGTTTTTTCCAAGTAACGTGAATGAGTTTGTTAAATTCATCCGTCAATTCGAACACCAATCTATCGTACTCTCTTTCATCTGTAATTAGTAAAAACATTGTCATTGTAGAAGGCTAGTTGAATACGGTTTAGTTCAACAATTTAGAAATATATCGAAAAAAACATGTTTTTATGTATACATGTAAAAATTAAATCTATTTTCTTTCATATTTATAAATAATATTACCTATTTCACCATCTTCTAGATTTTTTTGTACCTCTTGTCCCTTAGAAAACAAAATATTTTTCGCTTCTAAAAACTCTTCCATCAACTGAATACTTTCCAGTTGGCTCAGGTGTTTGGCGTGTTCTGTGCATCTCATAAATGCTTCTATTTCATCTTTGCGAATCTTGTAGTGTCGCTGACCAATATCAAAGACTTCTTTACCTGTTCAAGAAGCAAAATATTAAATCTTTAGTAATTAAAAAATGCGAAAGCTACACAGCATTCTCCTACCTCAAAACACGTATGTATTAGTTATTATTGGTTAGGTTCGTAGCTTGCTAGTAGGTTTTCTTGTAAGCAAATATTGTGAGCTGCAACTACAGCGGCATGCCTATGGCTATGCATCACGGATAGATTCATTTTATTTATCAGAAGAATGTATTACGCATGATATGAGTACATAAGTTTATGTATGATTAGTGATTTATCATTGTTACTTATTCCTTAAAAGTATAAAATATAAGGTGTTATTAGTTCAGAAGATATATAATTGTGTTACCCTGACAATATTCCTACATCAAAAGTGGTAAACTGTGTGCTTCTATTGGTGCATAATGCCGAAAGACCGAAAAAAGAAAAAGAGACGACATTCAACATCCAGCAGCAGTTCAAGTTCTTCAGATGACCAGAGTCGACAAAAATTTGAAGAAAACGAATAAATCGCATAAGAAAAGTAAAACCAAATCTATACATGATCCTAGTACTGTTTCGTAAATCTGCAGTATTCAACCTAGCTCAGGTATTGTATCATCTAGTTTTATTGTCGAATTTAATCCAATGAATATGGAAATTTCTGATTGGCTAGAAATTATTCAACATAATTCTAGTATTTATTCTGACAGTTTTATAATTTATGAAGCTATAAATAAATTAAAGGCCACAGCTAAAACATGATACGACAGTTTTATACAGTGTGAATTGGGGTGGCCTCAGTATACTTGGGCACACTGGAAACAATTTCTGAGTTCTACTTTTTAAAGCACACGAGAGATACGTATGAGTTATTTATGGATATTGCAAATAATAAACCAACAAATGGTAGTTCATTATACGGATTTCATATCAATCATCTGGCAAAAACTAATAAATTAAAGTTGAATTTCTTTGATTCTGATAAAGTATCCTTAATTATGGGGGCAATACATGATCCCAATTTAAAGTCCGCAGTATAAGCCTCAAATAATAAAGATCCAAATATTTTAGGAGTCTATATTAAAAATAAAGTATATAGTGTGCCGCTACCTCCTACACTTGAAAATCCTGAACAACAGTCATTGCCGAGTTGTAGCCACTCGAAAAATTTTAATAAAATAACAGCAGAAGTTAAAACTTTATTTTGTAATTATTGTGGGAAAAATTAACATAATCACGAGAATTGTAGACATAAAAGCAAAATATGCAACTTTTGCACAAAAATTGTCATATCGAAGCTAACTCTTCAAAAAAAAGATTTTCTTTTAACAAAGACAATTTTAAAAAGGAAGGGACTAACAAAAATAATACGGAAGATCCTAAAGTACAGAAAGTTAAATTAATTGGAAATAATACTGAAAGTTCAAAATTCTATAAAGTAATTCATATTAACGAAAATAAATGTATGACATTCATAGATTTTGGAAGTGACTGCTCAATAATGAAATTCTGAATAGAAAAAATATAACTTGGATATAAAACCTCTTGAAAATCGTGTTACGCTATCGGAATTTTTAGTTGTTGGGACGGAAGTGACTAACTATACCAAGAATGTAACACAAGTTGACGAGGTAAAATTAAATATAATGTATTATGTAATGGAAGACAAAAATTTAGATACTGATATTTTAATTGGGACAAACTTTACTTAAAATAAAAATATTGTATATTTTCGTATTGATTACGTATTAACTTTCAAAAATAGAACAAATAATCCTCTGTGGTTGCAAAATATTACATACGGGATTTTATTAGACAAAGAAATATATTCTCTCAACCAAATTTTATTGAAAAACGAAAAATGCGTGTTTCAAGATCAAAAACATCTGGGAGAAGCGCACTCCGTGTCACTGTCGATCGAGCTGTCTATGGATAGACCCTTACCGTTTTTCGGAAAAGATAAGCAAATTTTAAGAACCACTGTAAATGGATTATTAGATTCTAAGATAATTCAGGACAGTAAGTCTCCTTACTCCAGTCCTGCGTTATTGGTGAATAAAAAATGGGGCCAAAAAAAGAATGGTAGTCGATCACTGGGCCCTTAAAAAAATAACTGTCACAAACAGATTTTCAATGCCTTTGATAGAGAAGATTATTGAATATGAATATTTTACAAATATTGATCTAGTGTCAGGTTACCACCAAATCCCATTGGACCCAAAATTGGTTAGGTGCACATCTTTTGTAACACCTGACGGGCATTACGAATTTATAGGGGTACCTTTTGGACTTTCCAATGCACCGTTAATATTTCAGCAATTTAAGGAGGTCCTTTAGCCACCCCTTTTGCCACCAATGTTAAATAAAAAATATTAGATTATGACTAAAATTTATTTTTTTTCTAATAGTTGAAGTCCTTATTTATCTAATGTTGAACTTTTAACTATACCTTACCATGCAAATTTTTGAGATTTTTTTTTTTAAATGTGAGTATTTGTACAGTGTCTTATGAGAAAATAAGACCTCAACAACAATTCTCGAATTATATTATTATTTATTGATTAGATGGAGTAGAAAAAAACTAAAAATAGGGTTTTTGAAATATTTAGGTTTTGTTTTTTACAATAAAATATATAGGTTACCTTGGAATTTATTGAGAAATTAATATTAAAAAAAAAATTTGAAGTAACCTAGTTGAAAATTTTTTGTGATTTTTTCAAAAACCTTATTTTTAGTTTTTTTCTACTCCATCTAATCAATAAATAATAGTATACTTAATTATAATTCAAAAATTGTTGTTAAAGTCTTACTTTCTCGTAAGACACTGTACAAACACACACATTTTTAAAAAAAAATGTTCTCAAAAATTTTCACAGTGAGGTATAGTTAAAAGTTTACTATTAGATAAATAAGGACTTCTACTATTAGAAAAAAATTTATTTTAGTCATAATCTAATATTGTTTATTTAACATTGGTGGCGAAAGGACCTCCTTAAGACAGTTTCACGTAATACCATGAATGGATGATGTACTAATACCTTTAAAAACTGTTGCTGAAGGCATAGATAAGCTGGAGAAAGTTCTAAATTTATCAAAGGAGTATGGTTTTACAGTGAATCTGCGATTTTAGCAAAAAAATTTATATATTTAGGATATCTCCGTCAGTCAAATATCAGCGCAGTTCGTGATTTTCCCACACCAAAAAGTCAACACCAGTTAAGACAGTTTTTGGGTTTAATAGGATTTTTCAGAAAATGTATTAAATATTTTGCTAGGGTGACAGCTCCTCTTACGAAATTATTAAAAAAAAAAAATATGTGTGGAAATGGACAGAGATACATTCAAAAATAGTAAACTTAAAAATCCAATTTTATGTATATTCAACCCTAAGTTGGCAATAATTGTTTATAAGGATGCAAGTTGCGAAGGATTTGCTAGAATTTTAGTTCAAAAATATGATAACAATGAAAGAACTGTCGGTTTTTTTTAGTAAACAGACAACAGACACCTAAAAAACTACCATTCTGTTGAACTTGAGTTATTAGCTATTGTAAAAACATTGGCAAAATTTAAATACTACCTTTTAGGAAACCAATTTACCAACATAACAGATTGTAATGCTGTTAAAAATGCAATAAGTAAACAAACAATAATTATACCGGCGTTTAGCCAGGTGGGTTTTATCTTTACAGGATTTTACGTTAACTATTCAACACAAATCTGGTACGCAAATGCGTCATGTGGATGCACGTAGCAGAAATTTTGTACAAATAAAAATATTTCAAAAATACAAGAAGACGATTATTTAAGAGAAGCTGAAGATCAAGACAGTAAAATTAAAGAGATAAAAGACATTTTGTTAAGTGGAGATATTTTAAATAACCAAAGCATTTAAAATTTATCGATTAACACCTTATAGTAGAGGGTGGGTAGTGCCTAAAAATTGTAGATGGCAAATAATAAAAGCAAATCATGATGATGTACGGCACTTTGCACTCGAAAAAACATTAGACAGAATAAAAAAGCATTATTGGTTTTCAAAAATGAATAGATTTGTAAAAAATATATTAGCGCATGTTTAAACTATTTGTATTATAAAGAAAACAGCGGTAAAAAAGAATATCTACATTCCCTACCCAAGAATACAAGGCCACACCATACTATTCTTCTTGATAATTTAGGACCCTTTGTAGAAACTACATATAAATGGAAATAAATATTTATTAGTAACGGGTGTCCCAAAAGTTTTGGGAAAAAGTGCTCTGCAATTTTTTTCCTAAAGCTTTTGGGGCACCCGTTAATTGTGGATGGATTTTCAAAGTTTACTTATTTAAAAGCTGTCCCAAATACAACTACAAAGTGTGTCCTTGAAGTATTAGTTGATATATTTATGATTTTTGGAAACCTTAAAAGAATAATAGCTGATGCAAGGATAGCATTTGTTTCAAATGACTTTAAAGACTTCTTGGAACAAAAAGGTATTAAATTATTTACAATAGCAGTTGGATTGCCCAGGGGTAATGGTTAAGTTGACAGAACTAATAAGACCTTATTTGATGCATTGGCTACTACAGGAGCAGATAGGGATAGTAATAAGTGGGATTTAAAAATAATCACTATTCAACAAGGCATTAACAGTACAAAGCATCGCGTCACAAACTACACCCCGGCCGAACTGTTATTTGGATTTTTTCTGAAGATGAATAATGACATCCACGAATCTGAGGGCAAAGATAATGTAGACGTAACAACCATCAGGAAAAGGGCAGCAAAGCGACTAGAACAAAATAGGACCAAAGAGGATATTACATTTAATACGAAAAGAAGCCCACGGAAAATATGTAAAGTAGAAGATTCCCTTACTTACAAAGGTCATCAGCAACCCTGCAACGGGAGAAAGTAAAAAGTTACTGTCTAAGTTTAGGGGTCCATTTAAAATAAAAGAGGTTCTTCCAAATGATAGATATAGGGTAAAGGAAGAATAATGAGCGGCACGCCTATGGCTATGCATCACGGATAGATTCATCATATTTATCAGAAGAATGTATTATGCATGATATGAGTATATAAGTTCATGTATGATTAGTGATTTATCATTGTAACTTATTCCTTAAAAGTATAGAATGTAAGGTATTATTAGTTCAAAAGGTGTATAATTGTGTTACCCGGACAATATTTCAACATTACGATGAGGTAGAGCTCTGAATTAACAACCCTACTAAAAATACCCGTCAAACGATTGATAGGTCACAATAACTAATATTCTTAAACAAAAGAAAGTGAAGTAAGATAGATCGGTTAAGATCCGCTCAAAAAAATATTTATAGTTGCTGATAACAAAAATGTGAAAGGCGTACCTATACGACTTTTAAGATCTACACAACTTAATCATAACTGGCGAGTAAAATACATATGAAGAATATTTTTATCTGGAATTTCGTTCTCTAATGTTTTGATCAAGGTAGGAGAAAGTCATAGCTCTGTCATAATTTTTCTACAAAAACCAATAGCAACAATTCTGTATTATTAGATTTTGCTTACAATAATTGACAAAATTAGTTTGAAAGTCGGCATATAGTTCTCTAATATCATCACCGAGATTAAGTAATAGCTTCCCTTCGTCGTCTTTTTCCCACATTTGGTCAAAGAGGTTTCTGGTGTTCAGGTATTCCACGAAACTGTCCATGTTCAATTCAGCTTCTCTATCTTCTCGTTCCTTTTGAAGAATTTTTGCTAGTTCTTTTTCTTCCAATTCCTCCTGGTCTAAAATTTTTATTTTTATGTGAATTCCAGTTAAGGGAAAATGTGGTTGAATTGAAAAGTTTTGGTAAACAATGTGCTGCTTGATAATTTTGTAGCGGATTTAAATAACAAAATTGATCTTGATCAGTTACAGTAGCGGCAGGTGCATAAGTACTGTAGAATTGTAGAACTGCCAAAAAATGCAAGTATCTCATGAATATTTCACAGAAATTATTTTAGACATTCTAAAATATACGAAAAATAGATTTTATAAATAATATCATTAATTATGAAATATTGTGTGTGCACTACAGCACATGGGTAGTCTTGATAGGCATATGTCTGCCAAAAAGATTAATTAACAAGTTAGCAAAGAGCAAAACTTTATTCTGAACAGTATTTTGATAAAAAATAAAAAAAGTATATTGAAAAATTTTAAAGTAGAATTGTTGTGTTGCTCTCACCCTATCGACGGGATATATATTATATCGCATTACCAGTTAGGATTTACCAAACAATCGCATTTCATACTCCTTCTTATAGGTACCTACTTACACCTCTTATAGGTATATAATAAGTCCTCTCATAGGTACATATACCTCTTTATAAGTACATACTCATTCATTCTATAGGTACATCTATGTTTTACATTTCAATACTCATATATACCTTATATAGGTTCTTTATTTCAAACTCATACATTCCAAGGGTACACACATTTTTCACATTTTAGTACTTACATATAGGGAGTGAGTGGCTCAGTAGCAAAGTCTGGGCTTGCGAATTTAAGGGTCCGCGGTTCGAATCCCACCGGTGACCGGGAATTTTTATTTAATTTAATTATTTAATTTAATTATTTAATTTAATTATTTAATTTAATTATTTAATTTAATTATTTAATTTAATTATTTAATTTAATTATTTAATTTAATTATTTAATTTAATTATTTAATTTAATTATTTAATTTAATTATTTAATTTAATTATTTAATTTAATTATTTAATTTAATTATTTAATTTAATTATTTAATTTAATTATTTAATTTAATTATTTAATTTAATTATTTAATTTAATTATTTAATTTAATTATTTAATTTATTTATTTAATTTAATTATTTAATTTAATTATTTAATTTAATTATTTAATTTAATTATTTAATTTAATTATTTAATTTAATTATTTAATTTAATTATTTAATTTAATTATTTAATTTAATTATTTAATTTAATTATTTAATTTAATTATTTAATTTAATTATTTAATTTAATTATTTAATTTAATTATTTAATTTAATTATTTAATTTAATTATTTAATTTAATTATTTAAAAATAATTGTTATGCATTAGTAGGATTCCCTGCTCCGACCATTCACTGCTGGGTTCTAATTAACAGTGGCACCCGGAAACAGTAACAAAGCCTACACAGAACACACAAACGAAAATCAAACACAAACTGAGACTGGCATATTAGGTGTATACACCTAAGCTATAAAATAAAAAAAGGTTTGTGTTGTCAAGAAGCTGGATCGCCTCAACGTTCACATGTTGGTGGAGCCGTTGTTCGTGACTACTAGCGAATCTAATGATAGTCTGGTCAACGGTGTCCATCTGAAGGTCTCGATGAAGGTCGCTGTTTCTAATGTACCAAGGAGCATCGACAATGTTCCTCAATACTTTGTTCTGGAATCTCTGGAATATTAGAATATTACTGTAGCTAGCACAACCCCAGAGCTGAATGTCATAGAACCAAAATGGTTTAAGAACTTGTTTATATAATAGAATTTTGTTATGTGTAGATGGGCTGGAATGCCTACCAGGTAACCGGTACATTTTCTTGAGTTTTATATCTAACTCTTGTCTTTTCTTTTTAACATGGACCTTCCAGCAAAGTCTTGCATCTAATGTAATACCTAGATATTTTACAGAATTAGTATAAGGGACCTGAGCATTATTTATGTTAATTGGTATTCTTTGACCATTTTTGTAAGTAAAATTAATATTAACAGATTTGGTCTCGTTTAGTTTAATACGCTATCCTTTGGGCCATTTACTTATTTGATTAACTGATGTTTGTAGTTTATTTGCAGCCTCTTCATGATCTTTGCCTATCGCTAGGATCGCAGTATATCTGCAAATGTAGCTATTGTGTCTTATTCTAGTTTGGGTATGTCACAAGTGTATAACAGATACAAAGTGGGTCCCAGGATGCTTTCCTGTGGTACTCCTGCTTTAATTTCTTTCAACTCAGAATATGCTTCATCTTGTTTTACTATAGCTCTGAGTATGGGTGTGGAAGTAGCACATTCAATTTATGTTTTAAGCCATCATGCCATACTTTATCAAAAGCCTGCACAACATCGAGGAAGATGGCTTAACAGATTTTTTTGTTTTCTAATGCTTTTTCAATCGAATTTGAGATTCTATGAATCTGATCTATAGTTAAATGGGTTTCTCTAAAGCCGAACTGGTAATCTGGAATAAGTTTTCTTTCTTCAATGATGGTTTTCAGCCTTTTTATTAGTATTTTTCAAATAGTTTTGATATTATAGGCAATAGAGATATTGGCCTATATGACGAAACTTCGTTCGGAGGTTTTCCCGGTTTGGGGATCATAATGACTTTAGCTACTTTCCACAATCTAGGGATATACCTTGAATGAGGCATTAAACAGGTGTGTAAGTATAATTATAGCTTTCTTCGGGAGTTGTTTTAAGATTTCTCCTGTAATTAAATCATAGCCAGGAGCTTTCTTAGGAATAATATTTTGTTTTAATATCTTCTGCAATTTCCTTTGGAGAGGTTGATCTGATAATACAATCATCTCTCCAAGGAGCCCAGTTTGGTAATTCTTCTCCTTCATTTGGTTTCAAAGTGTTTTCTAAGTGTTCTGCGAATCTATTAACTTTTTGTATATTATTTCTAGCCCAGCTACCATCTGTATTCCTGATTGGGACTTTCTGTACAGTGGGCCTTTTTAATTGCTTTGTGGTTTTTCATAGAGAATAATCAAGTGGATTTATCGCTTGTCAACTCACTAAGGTACTTACAAATAGATTCATTTTTGATTCGTTTTATCTCTCTTTTCAACTGCTGCCATCCGTTGTTACGTTTGGTTTTATCTGATGGAGCTCTGGTATGATGCCATGTCCTTCTTAGTTTTTTTTTGCAGAGATTAGGTCCCTTATTTCTTTAGGATAGTTATTTCCTGTTGTTCCCTGCATATTAGGTGGCGTATTATCCCATGCTGCTTGTTGTATGTTGGACACAAGTAGTTCTACTTCTTCGTCTAGCTGCGCTTTTGTTCTTAACGGAACTGAAAGATTGATTCCATTTTCAAGGTCCAGTCTAAAGCTTTGTCTATCTGTTCTCCTATTTATTAGTCTAGGAGCGCTTTCCTTTTGGATAATGGTGTCACTAAGAGTGAGAAGAATGGGCGAATGATCTGAATTCATGTCCCATGCCTCATCAACTTGGATGTAGTTTGCTGAAATATTTCGTTATTACATTAGACACTGTACACCTTAACACGATACGAACTTGACCCACTTTGATCATCGCGGCGAATATTTAAAATACATCCGACACCGACAAATGTTAGCTACCAACTCATAAAGTTTAATGTACAAACCATTCGAATATTCAAAATTTATAAATTATTTTAGTTTTATAATTTTTTATTTCCCAAATTAAAAATTTTACAATGGCTAAATTTGTTTTACATTGACTTTATTGACAGAATGTGATTGATACCAGAAAAATGTATTTCAACACAACTAACTTCTGAATTCAGTCCCAATCCTCGACAGGTCGTCGACAATAAGTTGTGAACTGGTTTGTGTTTACTTAAAATAATAAAAATAACATGTCGCAGCACATAACCTAAAAAATTAATTATTAGGCATTCCAACGACCTGTCAAACAATAACTGCCAGTGGGAAGGACTCTTAAATCCAATGGGGTTGCGACATAGCCCTCAACCTTGGACGCTATTTTTATTTAAATAGTAGTCGCCAAGCTTGGTAATTTATAGAAAAACTCTAAACGGTTTTTTTTTAAATAATTCTTTCATTTTGTTCGACATAAAATATTTAAATTTAATCCATTAATTATAATTTTACGTTATTGTAGGTAGACTTTATCGTATGTCGTAACCCTTTCCACATACCAAACCTTATCACCGCCTTTCATTTGTTTGGAATACCTAATTGTTATTTACAGTGAAATATGTAGAATTTTCACAGCCACCCTGGATTTAAAAAGAAACTGAACGACTTATTTATTCCTCTCTATTATTTACAATGTAAGGTACACCACTTGATGGGAGTTATATGAAGATGTTTAATTAATTTTTGTGATAAATAACTGTTAAGCTATAATGTCATGCAAAACTGCGACCCATCACCGACCGATTGGTCAACTGTAGTATAATCTATGAAGTTTGTGGTGATATATTTTTAAAGTACAGTCCTTCCCATGCCAAAGAAGGCAGCAAAGCACATCGGGAATTTTGGGTTGAAACATATGCCACATTTTTAGGCTATTTTTGCAAAAATCAAGGTGCTCTGCTAGCTTCGAACGAAGTCAGCAGAGCACCTTAGTTTTTTAAAGCTTTTTTCCAAAACTAACGACACCATATTTTTAGGCTATTTTTAGGCTCTTAAAATATTATAAAACTTTTCGAAAAATTTTGTTATTTTTAAAAAATACAGAGTGCTTTGCTACCTTCGAACGAATCCAGCAGAGCACCTCGGTTTTTTAAAGCTTTTTTCTAAAAACAACTACACCACATTTTTAGGCTCTTGAAATATTATAAAATTTTACTAAAAAATTGCTATTTTTAAATAATACAGGGTGCTTTGTTGGAGCAAAGTCAGCAGAGCACCTCGGTTTATTATTTATTTTTCAGAAAACTAGTTATACTTTACTTTTAAGCTATTTTTAGGCTCTTAAAACAATATATAACTTTTCAAAAAAAATGTATTTTTTAAAGAATACAGAGGGTGCTTTGCTAGCTTCGAACGAATCCAGCAGAGCACCTCAGTTTTTTAAAGCTTTTTTTCTAAAAACAACTACACCACATTTTTAGGCTCTTGAAATAATATCAATTATTCAAAAAAAAGGTTGGGTAAAATTATATTTCTAACTAATACAGGAAGCTTTGTTGGAAAAATATGATTTTGCTCAACCTTTATTTTTGACCAACCTCGTTAAGACTAATAAAATTTGATATCAGATGGTTGCTTCTTAGGTTTTTGATTATGAGCAACTTTTTATAAAGAATACATTTTTTCCAAAAATGAACAATAAAAAAGCTTTCCATAAGCCGTCAACTGTCTACGTTAAGTTAGCGGCATATGGAAAACTTTTTTATTTAATTATTTTTGGAAAAAGTTATATTTAATAAAAAGTTTTGCATTGTCTTAAACTTAAAATACAACCACCAGATATCAAATTTTATCAGTCGTATACAAGGTTGGTAAAAAATAAAGGTTAGGCAAAATCATATTTTTTGACAAACCTCGTATACCATTGATTCAATTTAAAAACATTGATACAATTTGAAATCATGCAAGACGTTTTATGAACAATAACTGTTCTTCATAAAACTAATAATAAAAAAGTATAATTAATCGTAGAAATTGAAATGTTTGTTAATTAAGGTGTTTTTGCAATGAGCCTATCCTAATCTTAATAAGTATTTATTACAAATTTTCTTTTAATTTGACTCACAAAGTGACATTTTGGCAATCGCAGCGAGTGTCCAAATGATCTATCTACTTTGAGTTACATAAAGTTGAACATTATGTAACTGGTTATGCCATAAATATGTTCATGACTGCAAAAAAAAAAAAAAAAAAGAACCTTTTTTTTGAATAATTGAAATTATTTCAAGAGCCTAAAAATGTGGTGTAGTTGTTTTTAGAAAAAAGCTTTAAAAAACCGAGGTGCTCTGCTGGATTCGTTCGAAGATAGCAAAGCACTCTGTATTCTTTAAAAAATACATTTTTTTTTAAGTTATATATTGTTTTAGGAGCCTAAAAATAGCTTAAAAACGTAGCATAACTAGTTTTCTGAAAAAAATAATAATAAACCGAGGTGCTCTGCTGACTTTGCTCCAACAAAGCACCCTCTATTATTTAAAAATTGCAATTTTTTAGTAAAGTTTTATAATATTTCAAGAGCCTTAAAATAGCCTAAAAATGTGGTGTAGTTGTTTTTAGAAAAAAGCTTGAAAAAACCGAGGTGCTCTGCTGGATTCGTTCGAAGCTAGCAAAGCATGCTGTATTTTTTAAAAATAACAACATTTTTCAAAAAGTTTTATAATATTTTAAGAGCCTAAAAATAGCCAAAAAATATGGTGTCGTTGGTTTTGGAAAAAAGCTTTAAAAAACTGAGGTGCTCTGCTGACTTCGTTCGAAGCTACCAGAGCACCTTGATTTTTGTAAAAAACGAGGAGCATAAAATTTTTGAATAGGGTATAAAAATAGCCTTAAAATAGCCTAAAAATGTGGCATATGTTTCAACTCAAAATTCCCGAGGAGCTTTGCTGCCTTCTTTAGCATGTCCTTCCAGATTCTTAAAATGTGTATTTGTTTAAATAACAACTTGTTCTTTGAAGATAATTAAATCTTATTAAATAATAGTATTTTATTATCGTTTGAATAAAATAATATAATACCTATTATCAATTGTCTAAACTTCACGACTCCAGTTTCTCTTTCTTCATCGTGAATCTTTTTATATTCGTACCACACTAAAGTCGGTAAAAATGCAGCAACGTATCTCCGAAAATCTTCATACTCCGTACAAGGATTGTTAGCCATATTTAAGGATATTAACATGGGTATTCTTCTCAAATGATGCACCTACATAAAATATACAGAAAATGTTTTCGTTTATTAACTAGATAAGAATTTTTATAGAATAAAACAGAATGTGAACAGCCGATTTCAAGGATGTTCATTAAAAACGGGTGTTTTAAAATAATTTTCGGTTGTTTTGTAGTACTAGTTGACTGTAAATGTTAAGTATTATAAACAATAAATCTTCATTAAAAAAGTAAAAAAGTATTTTTTCAAAAATACAAATAATTTAAAATAAAACCAAACCTTCGACACTTGAGAATATAACTGATCTAAATGGCATGACTTTTGAATTACCTACAGTCTAAACATATGCCAAAGTTTATCAGGCTTGTAACAAAGACAAGATATTTGAAAATTTTTAATACAAAGTAAATAGTTTAATTATGATTGATATAATTGAAAGTAAATACATGGAGACTGTAAAATGAAGGGAGGTCTATTTATACTTAAATTCCATGTACGAACTCACACAAAATATAGTCATGTGGCGTAATATCCAATTTATGTACTAATTTATAAAAGTTTATATTTAACTATGTAGTCTTACTAGCGAAAAACATGATAAATGCAACGAAAAATACCTAACAGAAATTAAAAACTACAAAAATTTATTCTTGAATGGATTTTTGATGTAGTTTACAAAAGCATGCTTCTCAAAAAGATTCAAATCTCAAGACAACAAAAATTAACAAAAATCTAAAACTATTTAATAATATTTAAATTCATAAAATTTCCACTAATCCCAACAAAAGAACATGATTTACTAAACCCTTTCAGGACGGACTTTTATTTCTGTTTTACGTGTTGTAATCATTAATAATATTTCATTTCCTAACATTAGGAAGCTTTTTAAGCAGTTTGTATTTTTTTTAGAATTTTCCAAAATTTATTTAATATTTTGAAAAATGGGACATATTGTCCCATTAGTCCGTTCTATCGGAACATTACAGCCCATCAGTCTTGAAAGTTGTAAAATAATAAACAAAAAAATATATAAAAAAACTGTATTTTAGTAACTAATTTTACAATAAACAAAGATTTGTGATTACATATGATAAGGTGTAAAACATTTGTTACATAGTTGGACCCGAGAATACCGATCAAGGAGAAGCGACAGCTTGGTATTTTCAGTGTACCGTTTTGTAACGCGCATGTGCGAAAATAAGTTGTGTATCACTCAAAATTATGTTATCTGTCAAAGTCAGTCCAAGTTGTGTTTAGTACGTGAGCAATGTTAAGTGATATTTTTTGGTGTTTGTTTTGTGTAGTAATAAGATGAAGATTTTTTACACACTTAGGTATTCTAATACAGATATAAAATGTGCCAAAAAAGTTATTAGGAAACTAAGAATTTTATCACATGCAGAAATATTAAGTATAATGATTTAATCATTTTTGACATTTTATTTTACATATGTAGATATTGGATTTTGTGAAATATATGTTTGTCTTCTTTTAAATAAATTTATTAAACAATGAACTGCAGATTTTGTTTATTTTATTTTGAAATTATATTTAAAAAAATATAATAAATCTGCCTGTTTCAATTAGGATTGGTCAAAGTGGGCGAAATTCCTTTATTATGGATAAATTGTAAGTTACAATTATGTTAATATAAATATGTTTTGCCCATTTATATTTACATTAATTGAATGAATCATACTGAAGTTGATTTTGGAAATATTGGTACATACTTAAATAAGTATTATTTCTAAAAATTCGTCTATGCTCAGACAGCATACATAGTCCAATGAACGTCCTCTTTAGATCCATTTGAGAGTCAGGACGTCCATATCTGAGCATCCAGTGTACGTCTGTTTATGCTAATTAATTTGACAGCTGAATATCGATACCCAGAGAACGTCTGTGTTTGGACCTAATTTTAAGTTTAGTAGTATTTTGACGTCCAGTGGACGTCCATCTTAGGTCATTATTTATTAATCCTACCAGATATTACCCATCTATATACACTTCTTTTTTAAAATATAATTTGTCATTAAAAATTGACAAATTGAATCTATTGCATTTTATTCTATCAGCGGAAGTTTGAAATCTTATTCCATTGTAACTATATCTAGTAAAAAGTTTTCAAGTGGTTCCTTGGTCAAGCTAGTATAGCGATTGAAAGCGTAAAACGATAATGGATGTATCGTGAGTTCGATGCCTGCTCAGGTCAAGCGATCTTTAATTAAAAAAATAAATAAATGGTGTATAGTGGTTTGCGTAAATAATAAACAAATTATTAATAATATAAAATAGTGTGTGGTGAGTTGCGGTTCTGTAAAAAAAGTGGGGATGTGGTCTCAATGGGAATATAATACTGGACGTTTTTTGAATGTCCAGTATTCGACGTCCAAATATATTCCAGAATTGGACGTCCTTTGAATGGCCAAAAGCGGACGTTCATTGGAAGTCGGAAGTCAAGAAGAAACTCATTTTTGAACGTCTAGACATCCAAAATTGTATATCGAATGGACGTCTAATAGACATATTTGTATGTTCTGGGTGATAGCCAGGCCAGGTATTTAACTCTAAATACATAAACCTTAAATGACATCTGGCTTATGTTTGCGAGAAAACACTTGTTTCTACAGAAATGAGTAATAAACTTGAAAGTTCTTTTAATATAATATAAATCCAGAAATTCTAAAAATATGGTAGTACTTTGTAAACCTGAAAGCTTTGAAAATATATGCACATTGCAAATACTTAATTAAACCTCCCAAACTTAATGTCTTTTTAATTGTTATCTAATTTTTTTTTGGTACCCTTAATTTTATTTACCCTATTTTTACTTAAGGAAAAGGTAATTTAATTTAAATATGGGGCTTTTATTACATTTTCAACAATAAATAAACCAAATATTGAACAAATTTTATAGATAAATTATAAAATAATAAACGTCTTTTACTTTTATAACAAATAATTAATTATTACATAATGAATTATATTTTGGTGCCAAAATTTCACCATTGCTATTAACCTTAACTACTTCAATGTAATTAAATCACATTACAACATTTGCGCATGGACTATAACAATGATTTCAAATAATTTGCCAAACTATTTCGCTCAGTGTAGAAAATAAGCATGTTTTCTCAGCGTATTAAGTTGTGTATTAATCAAAGTCATGCTGTGAAAACGGCCCATCCGATATCAAAGGCTCCGACAGCTACTGTCGCTTCTTCTTGATTGGTATTCTCGGGTGGGACACATGCTCCACAGACTGTACTTGTTCGCTTTTCAATATTGTTTTGTGAACATCTAGTACACCTTCTCCGCTGTTGTTCAACAATAGGCATGTGATCTCCAATATTCAACATTGTTCTTTGCCTCTTCGAAGGTCGTCCAGATGTTGAACGTTTCTTTATACTCGCTTTATTTTTCCCATGTTCAATAAGACCTTCTGCCAAAGATACCAAGAAATCCAAAAATGGTACCTTTTTGCTTTTTACTTCATTATGGATAATGTAGGAATATACAGCAGTCATCAACATCATTTTGTAAAAAACCTTCTTTCGCCATTTTGTAGACTTCCGATCAAAGTCGTAGAGACTAGTCAAATGGTCTGTCAAATCAACACCTTCCATATACTTGTTGTAAAAGGAAATGATCTCGGGATATACCTTTAAATTTCGCCATGCTTTCGTCTATGGACTGGTAAACCAAATCCGGTTTAGCTTTTTGATATGTATATTTAAAACAATTCAAGAGCTCTTCTACGTAATACATTTTTGTAAAGTTTGGTGGTTTTTCGGGGTATATAAAATAAAATTTAGAAATTAACAATTTGTACCGATGGCGCGACATTGCATTTTTAATTGTAGTAATTTCCATAGAAGAATGTTTTGACCAATAGCGGTTCAAGCTTGGCAGTACATTATAAGCCATTACTAATATAACACCAGTTACCATCATAATTTCAGAATAGTCAGTCAATTTCACTTTCTTTTTAGTTTTTCTTTCGATAATTTTTAGCCTCTCATTGGTACATTGGGATATGAACATGTTCAAACTTTTTGGGAATAACTGCAAAAACACTTCCAATTCTGTTGATTGGCTATTTATATAGTTCAGGAGGATTTCTGTATCCCTAGCAAGAAGCGTTGAAATCGTGGAATATAATTTTGCGGAACTGAAGACCACATTATCATGCTTGATACAGTTGAGGGTCCAGGCTGAGGACTTGTAGATGCAGTTTGAGGAAACAAAGTACTCTGACGATTCGCATCACCATTATAGCTGCCTGTATCTTCAGCTTCGACGAGTTCGTTATTTTCTGATTGAACATCACCATCGCACTCAGACTCGGTTTCTGAACACGAGCTAAACCAATCTGGGTCTTTATTACTACTATTTTGGAAAGGATCAGTATCACTTTCAGAGAAATCAAGATTTTCAGCAATTCTTTTAAGCTCGGCTATTTATCCTGAATGAAAAACACACATTCGTAGGTCTTGTGGGACAAATGATCCCACAAATAATGCCTGTTGGGACATAATCACAAAATTTCGCATCAAGGAATAGGTAAAATATGTTCAAATTATTATATACACTAAAATAAAAGTACTTACTTGGTTACACAGAATAAACAGTATAAAATTGCCCTAAGAAAGGCATAAAAACATCCAAAAATAATCAACATGCGGCGTGGAGCTCGAAAAATTTGAGGTTATCTCGCTTTGTTTTCAAACAACAAACTGCTAGATGACCACAGGCACTGAAAAGACTAAACCGGCATTTATATATACATAATTGGGATCATATTTTCCAGCAGTCAAACTAAAATTTAATTTAGGATATATAGCCCCATTAGTCTCAAAAGGGTTAAAAAAACAAAAAATGGTAAAGTATAGTCCAAATAAGTTTTTGGACAGTGGCGTAAAATTTAGATGGGTGAAAGTGTTACTTATCGGTATGGTACTTTACTGGTAAAGTTTATTTAACTTGTTTTACTGATAGGTGTAACTTAAAAAACCTTCAATGTTTATTGTATTTAGTAAAATTATATTGAGCAATAATATGTTGCGAATCGTAATATGTAAATGTTAAAATTCTTATAAAAAGTGTAAATGTTTTTATAATTAAGTAAGATTGTTGTTCTTTTTATCTCATTATATAATATATTAAATAACATACCGATTCTTTGTCCTTTATTAAATTCTTTCCAACACTGAAAATAGTCAGACTTTTGAGGTTTTCCATATTTTCTAGTTTCTCAATCTTATTTACAAACAAATTCAATATCCTCAGTTTACCTAAGCTGCCTAAATTTTCTATTTTAGTAATTTTGTTAAAAGATAAATCGAGATCTTGTAAATGTATTAAGCTTTCTAAATTTTCAATTTTTTCTATTAAATTGTTGTTGAGTTTTAATTTTGTCAGAGATTTTAAGACCCATAGATGGTCCATCTTTACTATGTTCATGAATTCTAACCGCATTTCTTCGACATTCCCTGGATCTACGCCTTCAGTTTTCATAAGACGACCTAAAAATTGATAGTGCCGAATTTTGTATAATTGAATAGTGAAAGAAAGGTGAATTGGTGCAGCGCATAGTTTTGAAAATCTAAATTTTATATTTACCTAATTCTCCTTTTGGCAATTGTTGTTCTATACATACTCTTAAAAGGTGACCGTCGATGATCTTGGGTTCTCTAGCTTTACACGGATTCATTTCTTTAATAATGTCTGTTCCAATGCACTGATCAGCTGAATACAGACTAAAACTGAAGTATAGTGTCAATAAAGACGTTTGATCGATTACGAAATTGCTAAGGTAACTATTTTCTTGTCCCAGAGTTGGACTAGAAAGGGTAAAATAATAAGGATATTTATTGAATTTACATTAAATGAACTGTTTAAATAGTTCATTGTTTTTCAAACACTTGTGAATTTTCCGAAAGCATTAGTATCTATTTAAATTATTTTTTTTTTTTCATTTAATAGTGTTTCCCGAACAAGATTAAAACTAGGTTTGCTGAACGCTATTTTTTTTTTAGAGAACGTTTTAAATGATATGAGAAATTTTTAATTTCTTTTAAGGCATCTCATTCAGAAAAATTCAGAAAAATTCAGGAAAATTTAGAAAAATTCAGAAAAATTTAGAAAAATTTAGAAAAATTCAGAAAAATTCAGAAAAATCCAGAAAAATTCAGAAAAATTCAGAAAAATTCAGAAAAATTCAGAAAAATTCAGAAAAATTCAGAAAAATTCAGAAAAATTCAGAAAAATTCAGAAAAAATCAGAAAAATTCAGAAAAATTCAGAAAAATTCAGAAAAATTCAGAAAAATTCAGAAAAATTCAGAAAAATTCAGAAAAATTCAGAAAAATTCAGAAAAATTCAGAAAAATTCAGAAAAATTCAGAAAAATTCAGAAAAATTCAGAAAAATTCAGCAAAATTCAGAAAAATTCAGAAAAATTCAGAAAAATTCAGAAAAATTCAGAAAAATTTAGAAAAATTCAGAAAAATTCAGAAAAATTCAGAAAAATTTAGAAAAATTCATAAAAGTTTAGAAAAATTCAGAAAAGTTTAGAAAAATTCAGAAAATTAAGAAAAATTCAAAAAAATTCAGAAAAATTCAGAAAAATTCAAAAAAATTCAGAAAAATTCAGAAAAATTCAGAAAAATTCAGAAAAATTCAGAAAAATTTAGAAAAATTCAGAAACATTCCGAAACATTCGGAAACATTGAGAAAAATTTAGAAATATTCAGAAAAATTTAGAAAAATTCAAAAATATTCAGCAAAAATTCCACTTTTTCAAAAATTTAGCGAAAATTCACAGAAAATTCAAAAGAAATTTGGCGAAAATTTAGCTAAAATTAAGCAAAAATTCAGCGTACATTTATCGAAAATAAAGCGAAAATTCAGCGAAAGATCAGTGAAAAATCAACGAAAATTAAGCAAAAAATCTATGAAATTAAGCAAAAATTTAGCTAAAAATCAACGAATAATGTTTATACCGCGACAAACTTACATGTTCAAACACGCGCGAATTTTGTTTTTATATTAACTATATCGCTAAAAAAAAAATGGAAAATGTATATTTTTTTATACAGGATATTTTAGATGAACCAGTGGACACGTCTAAACTAGGCATTCAGTTTCTATTCTATAGGATGATAAAATAAATGTCATGAAAACGAAATTTTATGAATATATTTCTTTAGACATTAACTTTAAAAATACGTAGCAGAGTACTCTAAACATCGTAAGGTTGCAAAGAAAAATATTTTTAATAAATACATTTTTAAGTAAGCTTTTTTTTTACTAAGTAAATTTTATTTATGCACTGTTGGCGCAACCCTCAATGTAAACGCTCTTTAGTTGTGATGGTATTTTTTACTGAAATTCATTCCTGTCTAAGTCTGGCTTTGGCCAGTGGAGTAACAACGCGAAGTTAGAATATTAAGAACTTGCTTATGTTAGTGCTGTTTTTAAATAAATAAGCAATAAATTGGCAATAAATAAGCAATAAATAAGCAATAAATAAGCAATAAATAAGCAATAAATAAGCAATAAATAAGCAATAAATAAGCAATAAATAAGCAATAAATAAGCAATAAATAAGCAATAAATAAGCAATACATAAGCAATAAATAAGCAATAAATAAGCAATAAATAAGCAATAAATAAGCAATAAATAAGCAATAAATAAGCAATAAATAAGCAATAAATAAGCAATAAATAAGCAATAAATAAGCAATAAATAAGCAATAAATAAGCAATAAATAAGCAATAAATAAGCAATAAATAAGCAATAAATAAGCAATAAATAAGCAATAAATAAGCAATAAATAAGCAATAAATAAGCAATAAATAAACAATACATTAGCAATACATTAGCAATAAATTAGCAATAAAGTAGCAATAAATAAGCAATAAATTAGCAATAAATTGGCAATAAATTGGCAATAAATTATTAATAAATTTGAAATAAAGTAGTAATAAATTAGTAATAAATTAGTAATAAATTAGTAATAAATTAGTAATAAATTAGTAATAAATTAGTAATAAATTAGTAATAAATTAGTAATAAATTAGTAATAAATTAGTAATAAATTAGTAATAAATTAGTAATAAATTAGTAATAAATTAGTAATAAATTAGTAATAAATTAGTAATAAATTAGTAATTAATTAGTAATAAATTAGTAATAAATTAGTAATAAATTAGTAATAAATTAGTAATAAATTAGTAATAAATTATTAATAAATTAGTAATAAATTAGTAATAAATTAGTAATAAATTAGTAATTAATTAGTAATAAATTAGTAATAAATTAGTAATTAATTAGTAATTAATTAGTAATAAATAAGTAATAAATTAGTAATAAATTAGTAATAAATTAGTAATAAATTAGTAATAAATTAGTAATAAATTAGTAATAACTTAGTAATAAATTAGTAATAAATTAGTAATAAATTAGTAATAAATTAGTAATAAATTAGTAATAAATTAGTAATAAATTAGTAATAAATTAGTAATAAATTAGTAATAAATTAGTAATAAATTAGTAATAAATTAGTAATAAATTAGTAATAAATTAGTAATAAATTAGTAATAAATTAGTAATAAATTAGTAATAAATTAGTAATAAATTAGTAATAAATTAGTAATAAATTTGTAATAAATTAGTAATAAATTAGTAATAAATTAGTAATAAATTAGTAATAAATTAATAATAAATTAGTAATAAATTAGTAATAAATTAGTAATAAATTAGTAATAAATTAGTAATAAATTAGTAATAAATTAGTAATAAATTAGTAATAAATTGGTAATAAATTAGTAATAAATTAGTAATAAATTAGTAATAAATTAGTAATAAATTAGTAATAAATTAGTAATAAATTAGTAATAAATTAGTAATAAATTAGTAATAAATTAGTAATAAATTAGTAATAAATTAGTAATAAATTAGTAATAAATTAGTAATAAATTAGTAATAAATTAGTAATAAATTAGTAATAAAATTAATTTTGACCTATAAAGTGATATTTTTGTAATCGTAGCAAGTATTAAAATTATCTACTTTATGCGACCACTTGCTTAATGTTAAGCATTATAAAACTGGTAACGAAAAATTCATTATGTCACCAGTTGCGAGAAGAAAACAAATAAAAATAAATCTTTTTGGTTTTAAAATCAATAATTTACATTACTTATAAAAATAGAATTTGGTTAAACATACAACCTAGTACTAATGTTGTTTTGGTCAGCACAAAATAATTAAAACAGAAAACACGACAAATAAACCCACTTTTTTGAAAAAAAAAAATAACTTCAATAAGCCCTATAAACACACTACAAGTCGTTGAGAATAAATATTTATTATTATAATTTCAAATATTATCCATATCTCAAAGTGGTCCGAAGTAGATTAAAGGGAAGTAAAAAGCTCAAAGTCTGTCGACCACATAAATTTATTAGGTTGCAAGCGCTTTCGACCTAAAAGGTCATCATCAGGCAAAAAATTGTTTGTCAGTGAGTAGGTACAATCTGCAATAATAATTTAAGGTATAACAAAACGTTTTTTATAGAAATGTATAGGAGTCCCGCTCGTGTATACCCTAAAGCCTAAGCGTATTATAAAATGATACCCCTTAAGCTTAGGCTTAAGGGTGTACACGAGCGGGACCCCGTCTACCCCTTTTGTACTGGGGATAGGGGGAGTAGCTGTATTTCACCTTTCCAAAAAGTAACACTTTCCACATGGTGCCTTAAGCACACATGTGGAACAAAATTTATCTTATTCGAAACCACCTTCATCAGATGGAGGCAGGCGAAATTTAAAACTAGAACTGGATCCAACCTCGAATGAGGGAGGCAGTGTGTGCCATTTTTTTCAATTTTTACATTTTACAATTTACTTAAATTTTACATTTTAATTCAACATACTTATTTTTCTGTGGACGCATAGTGGTAAGACACCTAGCATTTCTATAAAAAACGTTTTGTTATACCTTACATTATTATTGCAGATTGTACCTACTCACAAAAATTTGTTTTGCCTGATGATGACCTTTTAGGTCGAAAGCGCTTGCAACGTAATAAATTTATGTGGTCAACAGACTTTGAGCTTTTTACTTCCCTTTAATTTATTATTATGTTCCATTTGTCAATAAAATAATGCATATGCAAGTAACAATATAAGAAAGTAGTAATATTGATTGCCTAGATGTCATTAAATTAAAGAAAATATTATATGTAATACTAAAATGTGTAAATTTCGAAATTTGAAGAAAACTCAAAAACGGATAAAGAAAAAAACATTAAATTTAAAACTTAAGTTTTATTTCGGCCTGACGTGAAATGATTAGATTTTGGACAAAGTCGGAACATCTGAGGGGTACTTTATGGTAGGCCGTTTTTATGTTTTATGGAATATATCTGTTTTTTATGTTTGGAGAAAAAAATTGTTCAAATAAAAGTTACTTCTAATATCTATAATTTTTGCTCTATATAAAAATTTTCTGAAATGGTCCGTATTCGAGAAATTTGACAAAATGTGCAAAATTCTGATTTTTATGAAAATTGTTGAAATCAAAGTTGTTAGCGATATCGATCTCTATAATTTTGGTTTATACATGATTTTTCTAAAATTGACCGTAATGGAAAAATTGTAGGAAAAGTGCTAAATTAAAAGTTTTCAGTATTTTCGTTTTCAATGAATATCTATAGAAAAATGTTTCGAGGTAGATGTATGTGGAAAATGTATATATTTAGTTTATCCTCCTCTAAACATTTATAGAGGTGTTGCAATAGGTAGTACAAAATA